CAGGTCGTGATACATCTTCGTGCTCCCAGGATGGGCTAGATAGGGTGCGGTATGAGCCTCTGATAATATCTCCTTCAGCAACGCCTCGATTTTCGGGACCACGATCCTGCCTCTGAACTCTAAAGCACCATCGGCACCTAGCTGAAAACCCTCGACGCCTCCGGCGCGAACCTTGGCCTCCATGACACGAACGAACTCGTCAGAAGCCTGCTCTCGCCGAATTCTCTCTCTCAGCGTCGGCTGAAGCTGCATGGCACTGATACTGGCACTGGTACTCCCCGAAACTGCTGTGGGAAGTGCATCGATCGCCTGAAGCTGCATCCGGGCAAACTCCTAAATCAACGGACTCTACTGAGTAATGACGTACGTCAAGTCACCCTTCACCTTTCGGCTAAGGGCGTCAGCAACGACGTTCGCCTTCGCCGGATGATACTGAATAGAGCAGTCGTAATCCTTGACGAGCTCTAACCAACGGCGTTGTCTCATGTTGAGCTCCTTCTGCGTGAAGATGTACTGTAAGCTCTTATGATCTGTGAAAATCTCACAATGACCGCCGTAAAGATAGTGTCGCCAAATCTTGAGGGCATGAACGACTGCTGCTAACTCCAAGTCGTGTGTCAGATAGTTCTGCTCATGCGGCTTAAGCTGACGTGAAGTATACGCGACGATCTGGCCATCCTGCATAAGAATGCATCCCAAGCCCTGTCTCGAAGCATCGCTGAAAATGGTGAAACTCCGAGAAGGATCGGGAATAGTCAACACCGGTGCTGAAGTTAATCTCTTCTTGAGCTCTGAAAGCTCGCCTCACAACGATCAGTCCACTCGAACTTCACAGACTTCCTCGTCAGCTGGGATAGAGGGAGGGCAATTTTGGAAAAGCCCTCGATAAACCTGCGATAGTAACCAGCTAGACCGAGAAAACTGCGAACCTCGGACGGACTCCTCGGTGTCGACCAGTTCTGAACAGCTGAGACCTTGGAAGGATCCACCTCGATACCTGTCTGAGTAATCACATGACCCAGAAAAGATACTCGCTGGAGCCAGAACTCGCATTTGGAGAATTTTGCAAACAACTTTTCTCGTTTGAGGGTTTCGAGAACCACCCTCAGATGTTCCTCGTGCTCCTTCTGGCTCTTCGAGTGAATAAGAATATCGTCAATAAAGACAATAACGAACTGGTCGAGGTAGGGATGGAAAATACGGTTCATGAGGTCCATGAAAACTGCTGGAGCATTGCTGAGACCGAATGGCATGACTACAAACTCGTAATGGCCGTAACGAGTCTTGAAAGCGGTCTTAGTGATATCTGACTCCTTAATCTTCAGCTGGTGGTAGCCTGATCGTAAATCTATCTTTGAAAACACACAGGCTCCCCTCAACTGATCAAATAAGTCGTCGATCCTGGGAAGCGGGTACTTGTTCTTGATCGTCAACCGGTTTAAATCTCGGTAGTCGATACACATGCGCATGGATCCATCCTTATTCTTAACAAAAAGAACGGGTGCTCCCCAAGGTGACAAGCTCGGTCGGATGAAACCGAGTCGTAACAGCTCCTGAATCTGAGTCTTAAGCTCCTGCAACTCCTTAGGCGCCCTACGGTACGGGGCTTTGGATACTGGACCGGCTCCTGGAATAAGATCGATTGAGAACTCCACCTGCCGGTTAGGCGGTCCTCCTGGAAGCTCGTCTGGGAACACGTCCACTGTTAGAGGTATGCTGTAAAAGCTGTGTTTTGCAGTTTCTATCAATTCCATTT